AATGTGCCACAGGCAGTGCAGGTTACCCTGCTGTAAACAGAAAACCCCTTTAAAATCGGGAACTGGCAGGGAGAGGGCAGGACAGTGGACACTCCTCAGCTGATGGCTCCCTTCAGGCCTGGATTCTCATGTTTTTCCATGAAACTTCCRTTGCTATCAGGGGTTGGATTGCTCAGCATTTCCAAAGACCAAATGGATGGTTACAGACTGAAGTACTTCTCAAATTTTAAATTAAACTATTTTAATAGTTTAATTGAGGAAAAGATACTTTAAATTTGATTGAAAGCTTAAGCAGCATTTTTGTGCAGGAACTGGGTAGGATTCCTTCTCCACTCTGTGCTGCTGGGTTTGTTTTGGTAAYAGAAATAACTGACAACAAAATGAATTTTGGGTTATGTATTATGAAAATGAAATAGTGAACTTCACTGGGACATTTCCAGGTTCTGATCTTACCTTGTGCAGCTCTGGGAGGAGCTGTGCATTGAGCACCRAGGTCTGGCAGTGGTTTTTCATTTTCCATGATCCACTTTGATCAATTGTTTTGCTTTCAGCTGGAGAGTGGCACATTGCTGCTGCATCTGCTGTTTCTGTGCAAGGTGTGGATCCTGCTGCTGTGTCTGGGAGCAGATAAAGAGGGATTTTGTGCCCTGGTCAGGACTGGCAGGACTGAATCCCTTCTGGAGTGTGAGTGGGATCATTCCYGTGCCCGGCTGGAGCCTTTGACTGACATGACACAGTCCCAAAGGCAGCAGACTCTTGCTAAGCCCCAGAACRATTTTTAAATAGGTGAAAGTCCTCTAATGATTCTGGCAGCGCTCTGAGTAGAGCCTGAACTTGGAACAGCTCCCACAGCCTCCAGCCTGACTGTGCCATCTCTGGGTTTTTCCATCGTGGCACCCCTGTGACATTGCAGACCGAAATTATTCTGCACAATTGAGTGTCTGTGGGGCTTTGTGAAAGATCCCAGAAAAGCTAGAAGGGTTTTGGTTTTAAGGTTTTTAGCTGTTGCAGCAGCTGGAGGATTGCCGGGGCAAGAATGAGATTTTTATATATTTTAAACCAGTTCTGTGCACACGTGGCCATGGCAGGGACACAAATCTGTGCCACTGAACCCAGATARCCCTCAAGCACAACCCCATATCCAGCCTGGGGCATGTGGCACCCGTGTGRCACAAATGCCACCCCCTCCCCAGCCTGGTCCCTTTTGGGAAGGAACTGAGGGACAGARACCACAGACCTCCAGAACCTCTCTGGGGCTTTATGGGGTGGGGGCAGCAGCCCCTCCACTGTCCCCTGAGTCCCCCACTGCCCCTCAAAAAGCACCAGAGTGTGAGCAAAAATAAGGCTTTGAAAAGAAACGCAGCAGGAGAGCACTGGTACCATATAAAACATTTATTGATCTTGCAAAACGGTGTAAAACGCATCCGTAAGAAAAAAATAAGAAACCGTGCTGTGCGTCGTGCACAGGTTCATACCAACAAAAGGTATTTTTTCCCACTGCTGCACAGCAGCAAATAAAACCCTTCACTTCTGGACAGTCTCACACGTGCAGCCTCCTCCGGCCAAGCCTTTTCTTCGTGCTGGAACCACGGTGCGGTGCTGGGGCCGCTCAGGACGCGTGGTGCCGGGTCACCAGGGCTCTCTGCAGCGCCGGCGGCGCTTTGCTCTTGTCCAGCACCAAATCCTCCCGAGTCTGCGGCAAACGCCGCTCCCGTGCKGGCGGGGGCTGCTTCTTGTCCCTGTCCTCCTGCTCTGTCGTGCCCTCCGAGCTGAAGGGGCTGCACACGGTCTCCACCAGCCCGATGACCACGCCGAAGAAAGCCAGCACGCTGCCCAGCATGTACAGCTTGACCATCTTCCTGTTGGGCTTCTGGCTGAGCATTTCTTTGGCGAACGGGATCAGCTCGTGCATGGTTTCCATTTTAGTTTYGCAGCAGCGGGTTTAGATGTTCGTTCTAGAGGAAAAGAGAGAGCGACGTGAGTAAAATGCGGCTGCTGTGCTGTCGGAGATCTCCGGGCTGCCCGAGCTCCCCGCACACCCCCCGGGCTGTGCTTTAAATGGGCATTTGGGATTTTTCCTGAAGGTTTGCTTCGGGAAACCACAGCCACCCTGTACTCGCGGTGCTGGGGCAGCTGCCGGGCAGAGCAGACCCTCCCCGGGTCACCCGGGCTGCGGGCAGGGGGGACACACCGGGTTTGCGCAGCATCCCAAATCCCGCATCCCAAATCCCATCSCATCCCATCKCCGCCCGTACCTGCRGGGCTGTGCTGTGCTGTGAGCGCTGCGGTGTCTCTGCGGGGCCGGGCAGTGCTGTGGCTGTGTTGTCGCTGTCGCTGTCGCGGCCGCTCCGCTGCAGCTGCTGCCCGGCGCTGCCGCCGCCGCCTTTTATCGCTGTCGGGGCGGGCGGGGCGGGGGCCGGGCCGGGCTCGGGGCCCGGAGCTCGGGCCAGCCTGGGCCCCCCCGCCGCTTGGCAGCTCCTGCCCCTAATCCGGCCAGACGGAAAAAAACCCGCTTTTTTTTTTTTTTTTTTTTTTTTTTTTTTTTTTTTTTTTTTTTTCTCTTTTATTAAATTATTTTTTCTTTTAATCTCCTTCAATTTCTCCATGTATTTCCCCATCTCTCCTTCATTTTCTCCTTGTATTTCCCCCTCTCTCCTTCCATTTCTCCTTTTTCCATTTCTCCTTTTTCCATTTCTCCTTTTTCCTTAAAAAAACCTCGTTTGTATTCTTCCCCCCTCCCCCCAAAAAACCCAAATTGTGTCAAAGTCTCATTCCAGAGCCAGGGGGCTGATGCTTGGCTTGCTGTGCAGCTCTGTACCTGCTTCTGCAAGAAATGTTTAATATGTTAACAGAAATATTAGCTTAATAGAAATATTATAACTGAGTGCTCGGGGTGAGGGAGAGAGGCTGTACCCACAGCTATTAAAATTCGGATCCAGGGCTGGGGCTGTCCTGCACGATGGCTCTGCCTCGCTGCTCTCAGAGAAGGGGTCAGAAACACCCAGGGAGGCCCTGGGCAGCTCTCACCCGGTGTGAAAACGTTTATGAAAGATTTCTGCATGGCAAAGGGAACCCTTAGCAGGTGATTCTGCAGTGCCCGATTTCCTGGAAGTGAGAGAACATTTGGAAATTCCAAAACTAGAGGAAGTTCCATCAACCCGTTAAGACCCCGCTGTTCGCTTTTCCTGCCCGTGATGCCCAATTTGCCACCCCGCTTGTGTCCCCTGCAGGACGGGGCTGTTTCCACGCTGGGCACAAGCAGGAGGCTGTGCTGCCGCTCTGCTTTCCTGGAGAGCAGCCAGGGAGAGTTGCACCAACAACCCCGGCATTAGTGATGATGAAATAACGATTGCATCACCATCATCATCAYCAYCATCACCATCCTCTGCTCGTGCTGCGGGTCCATCAGAGCAGACCCTGCAGGAATCCTGCATATCCCATACACACCTCAGCAGCTCCGAGCTCACAGAGCCGCCAAAACCCCCAAAATTGTTGGGATTTATGGCTTTTGGTGTTGTGCAGCAGGTGAGGGACTCCGGGACAGATTTGCTCTCTGATCACAGGGCTGAGAGGACGGGAATTGCTGTCAAAGAGGCTGGAAAGGCACTCAGGGGAGTTCACAAACCCTGGTGAGGCACAGCCCATGGGGTGTCAGCACCCCCAGAGCATCTGGAGRTGAAGAGGCCTTGCCCTCAAACCAGGGAAGGAAAAACCCCCTGGAGGAGAGGAATGGCACAGGAAATGTGACCGTGCTGCCCCTGAGATGGGTTTTATCTCAGCCCAAAACCTCTCTGTGAGCCAATACCTTGTGATGGTTTTGTGTTCCCCCTCCCTTCCCTGCACCCCTCCAGGTGAGGAATKTTCTRCCTCCTTCCCTGGCTGCTCCACACWYCCTCAGCTCCCTCGCTGCCCACCCCATGGTGAATTTGCGGGGTTTTCCCTTCTCTTTCTGAGCTGTGTCACGGGGATTTGTGGAGCACTGAGTCACCCCTCGCTCCTCACATCCCGCACGTCCCGGGAGCTGCAGCTCCCCYTGCCCCCTGCAGCCACAGAGGAGCTGCTTCTGGTGAAAATTTGGGGTTTTTTTTTTTGCAAGTTTTGACTCTGCTTAGGAAACTGTATTGCAAGACTGGCTGTAAAAGTTGCTAAAGACTTGTCTATCCTTCCTCAGCGTCTGGGTTGTTTTTTTTTTAACTTTAAATAAAAGGTCCTTATCTTCTCTGCCAACTTGGCAGCCGAGGCTGCAGCTGATTCCTGCAGTCGGGCTGTGTTTTTTTCTCTCTTCTGCAAGACTCAGAGAAATGGCCATTGGAGGAAAGATAGCTGGAGGAGACAGCGAGCAGACAGGGAAAGTTCAAGGTCGCTGCTGGTCCCGCCGGCTCTTTGGGGGTCATTGTGCGGGGGCTGCCCCGGCCCCGCTCAACCCCAACAGCAGCGCCCGGTCCCTGAAACAAAGGTCGCTGTGAAGTGTTGGAATGGTGACATTTCACCTAAAAAAGGGATTTTTTTGTTGTGTTTGTTTTTTTTTTTTTTT